ATAAATTGACAAAGTAGAACACAAAGCAACATGAGTCAGTACTATACTAAATAAATCAAATAGGTATGTATAAAGTTTTTGTGTAGCACGCATTACAAGTAGGACACTAGACCAGTTCCAGTGGTTTCTATTCCAGTGGCTTGATCAGCAGCAGTAGAATTAGGTTGGACTCCTTCCCAACTCACAGGAAGGGGAGGACAAGGAGAAGGAGGTAGAGGAGGAGGGGGAGGAGAGGAAAAATGTGAATCTACAAAAGATAATTAAATAAATTATATCAAATAATTTGTAATTATTTACCATCATTAACATGATGTGGTAAATTCCTTGCAGCATCAGTTTCCCCATTGGTACCTCCCTGTCCAGTAGCAGCAGCTCCTTTATTTTTCTTATCAGGTATTGGTGGTGGATCTCCTCCAGTAGCTCCAATTACAGTAGTACCACTAGCAGATACTACCACATCATCATTAGACTGTGACTGAGCAGTGGCTTTAGGTACAGTTTTATCAATCTTAGCATATTCAACTGATGGTGCTTCAGGTTTTGCTAATTTAGTAGTTGGAGGTGCTACTCCTAGTTCGGAATATATCGGTTCTTTAGCAGCTCCTCCCCCAATAGCTCCAGTAGTAGTTCCTTGGTCATTGACTTGTACATATAGAGCATTAAATTGTCCCTGAAACAAATAAATTAAATTAAATTCTTTTATTCCTATAGGCATACTGTATCGCCAGCAGAGCTGTAACTTATTGATGCATGGGCAGAAACACATATATTAATAAAATAATTAGCTTACTCCATCAAATGCAGTTGATTCATCAAGAAATTCATGATTTTCAGCAGCTCCTAATAATAATAATAATTTTTTATTAATTAAAAATAAAATACTGACTTTTTCGGTTTTTAAAGTATACACAACACAGTATTAAACAGCAAACAATTAACACAATCAGTCCAAAACAAACACCACCACCACCAGCAGGAATACTTATAATGAGAACTACATAACAAATCAATTAATAGATAAAATTTGCATTTAACTAACCTGATGATGAACTTGTTGGTGATACAGTTACTGTACCACTAGATGATGAAGTTGCTGTGCCAGTAGATGATGAAGTGCTGGTTGTTACGGGAAGAGCATCTGTATCTATTAACACATTCTAATTACCCACATATTCTAATTACTCACCAAATTGGTTGCTTAGCATATTCCACTAGTTCAGTATTATCATACACAACACCAGTTCCATTACACTGTATAGTAACTGTAGCATTCTCGGGGACTTCACCAGTACACTCTATTGTAACCTGAAATAATATTGTAACAACAAACATTTATACCATATAGAATTATAATTCACTGAAAATAAATTTTGCTAATATCACATTTTCGTTAAATTTGCAAAATTAAATTCCACAAAAAGGGTGTGGCACACTGGGAAAATGGCTGCAGAAGGTAAGATTTACAAAAATTTCATGAATTTCTACCAACAAATGGCAAATCTGGGCAAATTCACAACATTTTATACCAACAAAATAAAACCTCTATAATATTTCTTACTGGTATATTGAAGTGTAAAGTGTAACAACTAAAGAACACAGTACTATTAACTGATCTAGGGACTATAGGAAAAAGTCAAAGATGGGTTTATTTAACATAAAAACATTATATACCTCCTTGATATGTACTAATATAGAAAGTAGTAGCACTAGTTTCATTAAATTTTATTATATCTGAACCAGCTTCTGTAACTGATCTTGGTACTACATAAAAATAAAATCATTTATTCAGTAATTATTGTTTCTACCATGCCTAGTTGCAATTGATCAATCAGATTGCTTGATTTAAAGGCCTTTCCACACTGGTAAAATTAATGCACATCACTCTCACTTCAAGGGGGTGTCACTTGCATATAGCCTGTAGTAATGTTTGTGACCAGGATCAAGATGGAATCAACTGATCAACACTCCAAAAGGTTGTGGATCAAGGGATCAAGACCTTTTTTCAAGACGATCAAACACTTGAATATTTTTCGTAAAATTCCGTATATTTTCCGTTTTTAAAGTATAATAACAATTATGACGTAATGTTTCTTGGACAATACTTAACTTCTGGAAGCAGGGAGCTTTGTGCTTATAAAAAATTACTTCCATTAGCCTTGTTTCTATAGACACAAGAGTTCGGGTATGGATGCATCTAGCAGTCAGTGGGAGAGAAACTTTAATATTAGTTAATTAGTATAGATTATTAATCACAATTTAACCCCAAGGATTGGTTGGATCAAAGCCCCAAAACTTATCACATCAAGAAATCAAGGCCTTCAAACTTATCAGATCAAGGGATCAAGCAGTTATTTTCCAAATCAAAATTTTTGATCCTGGTCGCAAATATCAGTACAGGCTATATGTGAGTGACACCCCCTTGCACTTCACCTCCAGAGGTGGATTGATGTGAAGTGATGCGCTTTGCGTTCGATCAATGTAAACCAATGGCAACAAGAACACAAAATGATACATAATTCAGCTGCTAGTGTGAACAAGATCAATGCCCATTATTTCAGCTGTATCAACAAAGTGC